ACGCATATATGATGTCACAATTCCATATGCAAACACACAGCTTTATTCTCAAATTACCAAAAGTGGTCCAGTTATTGGTAGATAGTTCTTTTGGAGTAACTAGAAACTGTAAGAGGCAACCTCATCCTCTATCAGATACAGGATGGAACTTTAAGTCAGAGAGACTTGGATTTTAGTTGTCTGACCATAGGCTAGTAACTCAACCAATTACTGTCCCAGGCTACTCTCCTGGAGTTCATTTCATGGTTGAAATCACAAGTTGCGACAGATATGCACATATACAAATAAACAAAACCTGACATATACACAAAAATAATCAAACTAATAAGAGGTACGGTTTTGGGTTTGTTTGTTTGGTTTTTTTTAAAAACCAAAACAATCAATACATTGTTAGTTGATTTCTGGGTTACTTGAGCAAGAAGATGGAGGACTAGACATATTTTCTTATGTCCATGACCTTTCAAAGCTCTCCAAAACAGAAATTATATACCAAAGATTGTCAGTTGTCTCCATGGTTTAGGACATCAAGAATCCAAAATAAGGTTTAAGAAAAACCCAACAAGCCATGAAGTGACTCTCATTGACCTTAAGCTCACTCACTCATTCCCTTTCCATGCTACTGACAGTGTGGCTGCACTAGCAGACCCAAAAACCTGACACATAGTTGAGACTTGTAACAAAATTCAACCCTATAATCTGATACCACTTCCCTCTTTCCAGTACCATAGAAAGCCCAGCTCCAGGCTGTGGAAGCTTGCCTCGGCACTGACAGACAGCCAGTATAGCAGGCAGCTGCCCTTTAGGATCAAAAGCCTACTGGGAGCCACAACTCCACAGCATCCGTTTAGTGGTTCTGCTGGTACGATGCTGGGACAGAAAACTACACAGCACCAGTGCTGCAAAGCTGTAAGCTTCAGCTTCAGAAGCAAATAACCCCCCAGCCTGAGCTCAGAGAGAGAGCAGGACAGGATGTTAGAACCAGAACACTCTGTGTGTGTGTGTGTGTGTGTGTGTGTGTGTGTGTGTGTGTGTGTGTAAGAGAATTGTATGCAAAATGAACACAACATTCAGCTGGGGCAAGGTCTAACCACCCAGAAGTTACTTGGAGCAGAGACCTATGCTGGTGAACCATGAATTGCCCAACATGGGAGGAGACTGAAATGCTTTAAGATCTAGCCTCCAAGGGAACCACCATTAGAGTAGACAGAGTCAGAAAGTGAATAAGAGAAAATCAGAGGGAAAAAAAGATTGAAATTACCAATGATCTCAGGAAGAAAACTCAAAGATCTTGACTACAAGCAGATAAATCAACAGGGAAAACATTTACAACAGAAGGAAATATGGCTGCAAACCAAAGGAAAATGATACAACCTTAGTTGAGTCAGAGGACCTGTGAAATGTAAGGAGAACATGGAACCACAACACACTATTCCCGATTCAGCAATGGAGAGATTTTTTTCCTAATCCTTTTGTATCTTACTCTCCTTCTAATAACTTATGAATCAATCCTTCAACGCCATCCCAATTATGTCACTTCTAGCATGAATCTTCTTTATTTACATTGGATTTGCTGGTATGATCTAGCTTTTTTTTTTCTTGTTCCTTTTTTTCATTTGTTTGTTTTCTTTGGTATCACTTCTATGTCCCTTATAAGCACATGTGGGAGTGTGATATTAGAATTCAAGTATGAAGGTTCCATTGTCCTTGATGGTGAAGACAGTTGTGCGTAAAAATCATTGCAGATCTTTTCCATTTTTCTCAAAGAAAATATTCATGGTGTGTAAACACGAGGCTTCTGTGAAATGCATGGATGGGAGGGAAGTGTACAATAAGCAGCAGGGAAAGAAATGTCTTCCTGGTTGTTCATTAGATCATCATAATGGTGACTTACTACTTTCATCTTCCCAGTGAGTCAATGGCATTCTAATAGTTCAAGCTTAGTGCTACCTGAGCATACTCCTGGGGAAAGTAGGATTCTAAAAGAGGCTTCGTGAGCAAATTGTTGATTCTACCTGCGTGCCATTTTTGGCATCTGGCCCCTTCTCTCCTTTCACCAAACTACCCACTCTAATTTAAGCCCTCATTGCTTGTCTATTACAATACCCTACTATTTGATCATCTTGCATCTACCCCTTTCCAATTCATCCATCCAAACAGATATTCCTAAAGCACATATCTGATCATGCTCCCTTGCTCCTGAAAGTTCTATGGCTCTCTATTGCCTTCCTGGATTGCCAGAGGCAAGAAACTATTCTGTTTGGTATTTGAAGTCTTTCACAATCTTGTTTTAGCCTACTACACATTACTTGCCTAACATTCTCTAGATTTTGGCCAAACTTTTCAAATTGTTTTTTCCTGTTCACAACATTCTATCTCTTGTATTTCCATTTATTTGCATAGACTTTTCCCCATGACTGCGGTGTACTTCATACCTCTGCTTAGTTTCCTTAAAGGGTCAGCTTCAATAACACCTTCCACACAAGGTCGATTCTGCTACCACCCTCCCCCTTACCCCTCTCCTTTGCCTCTAGAAATGACTTTGTATTCATTTCATATAGATTTTGTGTTTCCTTGTCTGTTTATGTGTTCTCTCCCTTCTATAGAATGTAAGGTTCCTGATGTCAAGGACTGTTTTGTTTTTGACTTTGTAAAACACTCCCCTACCCCTACCCCACACTTAGCAGAATTCATGGCACATAGTAGATACTTTAAAAAGCTTATTGAATGAATAAGACTGTGTGATTCAGTGGATGGGGAACTGTATTTGGAGTGTTTCTGGGTTCAAATCCTGCCTCTAACTTTTCATGTCAGCTTGGGCAAACCCCTTAACCTTTCAGTTTCTGTAAAATGAATGACTTGGGCTAGGTGGCCTCAGGTTTCTTCACATTCCTAATCATGATCTCATAAATGACTAAAGCATCAGACACTGCAGGGACCAGATTTTCTCCATCTAAATAAATAGTCACCAGCTTAGAATAAATTCACAGAGCAGTTGGGAAGAATTCAATTGGACCATGAGCAAATTCTTCCTCACCCCCAACACTGCCCCACTCCAGTTTTGCTTTAAATAGTATCAGCTCTGCTCTTTCTGAGTGAGGGCAACAGCTGATTGAAGTGTCAGGTGTTGATTTCCCATCAAACACACGCTTAGTTGCTTTTTCAGAGCCCCACACCTTTGGGGATCATTTAAGCTTGTCGGTTTTTTTTGTTTCTTTTTGTTTTGTTTTTTTGTTTTTTAGGTAGTCTATTTGTCCTAGTATAGGATGAGTCCAGACCTACAGTTGGATGGTCCTATGTATCCCTTGGGAATTTTTTTTTGTTCCAGTTTATTTTTAATTATTACTTTATTTTTCTTTCTTTTCTAATTTTCTTTGGATTTAGGTAGGTAATAAGCACCAAAGCTGGTAGGAGTTAGAGGAACTTTATAACATTTTGTTTGCATGTCAAATCTGTATTACTATATATTTGGGGCTGAGTACAAGCATTTGGACTCTCAAAAAGTCTGTTAACTTTGTAAATATCCAAGAACTTCAAGGATGCTATTGAGATTCAGAACCTATGACTATGGAAGACCATTAAGAAGTGTGACTAAGAGACAGCTTCTAGAATCATCCTAAGTCACCAAAGAGCTATCCAAAATTGTTGATACGGACTGATGGCTCCTCAAGCACTTCATTTGGATATACTGGGACATCATCATCATCACTAGCATTAATATAGTGCTTTAAGGTTTGCAAAGCACTTTAAAATATTTTTATTAATTTTGTTGTTGTTTTTTATATCATCATAGTTTTCCCCAGTTTGCCTCCCCTCTCCCTCCCAGAGAGCCAACCCATATAACAAATAGTATTTTTAAAGACAAAAAAAGAGAAGAAAATAAAAAGAAGAGGGGAAAAATTAGCACAACCAGTAAATGTACAACCAAACACATGTAATATGCAACACCTATAGACCTCCCACCTCTACAGAGGGTGAGTTGGTGAGTCGCAATGCACTTTTCAAATATATTTTCTCACTTGATCCTCACAATAATCTTGGGAGGTAGGTGCAATTATTCCAATTTTATAGTTGAAGAAATGGAGACAGGTGAAGTGACTTGCCTAAGATCATATGGCTAGTAAGTAGAGGATTTGAAATCAATTGTTCTTGAGTCCAGATGTAGTACTCAGAATTAGTATTAGGTCCAGTCATAAAATAAAAATGAAACTAAAAGGTTCAACATTTTATTTATTTTTTAAAATATATAATATTTCAGTTTTTCCTAATTATACATTAAAGCAATTAAAAAAATTTTTTTGGAAAGGTTTAAGTTCCAAATTGTGTCCCTCCCTCCCTCCTCTCCCCCCATCCTGAGACAGTAAGCAATCAGACATAGGTTATACATGTGAAATCTCATAAAACGTTTCCATATTAGTCATTTTGTACAAGAAGATTTAAATAAAGAAAAAAGAATGAAAGAAAGAAAGTGAAAAATAGCATGCCTCAATCTATATTCAGACAATGTCAGTTCGTCCTCTGGAGGTGGATAGTTTGCTTTATTATTAGTCCTTTGGGATTTTCTTGGATTATTATATTACTAAGAATAGCTAAGTTATTCACAGTTCTTCATGGTACAATATTGCTTTTACTGTGTACAATGTTTCTCCTGGTTCTGCTCACTTCACTTTGCATCAGTTCATGTAACTCTTTCCAGGTTTTTTTTAAATCATCCTATTTGTCATTTCTTATAGCACAATAATATTCCATCACAATCAGATACTATAACTTGATTTCCAATTCTCAGCCACAGCAAAAGGAGCTGCTATAAGTATTTTTGTACAAATAGGTCCTTTCCCCCTTTCTAAGAAATTTTTAAAATAAGAGCTGTTAAAAGATTTATTAAAAAAAAAAGATAAATCTTGGGGCAGCTAGATGGTGCACTGGATAGAGCACCAGCCCTGGAGTCAGGAGGACCTGAGTTCAAATCCAGTCTCAGACCAGACACTTGACACTTACTAGCTGTGTGACCTTGGGCAAGTCACTTAACCCCAATTGACTTGCTGAAAAGAAAAAAAGATAAATTTTTTATTAAAAAGATTTCTCAGGATAATGACAAACAACTGTTTTCTTTCACATATTCACTCCTATACTTTTAGCAGTTAAAATACACATTTATAAAGACAGACAAATAGCAATTTTGAATTTTGCTTGATCATTTCTACCAGGATTTTGTAACTACCATCTTCAAGTCAGAGCAATCTTCTGGACTATCAGATTCCATCAGTTTATATGCTGTTGGCATTCCTGAGAGGGCTGTCTTCTGTATCTTTGGAAAAAGAAAAGAATATTTATTAATTCTCTGTATTCAAATTCTTAGTACCTTATCCAGAAGACACAAGAAAATTGCTCCTATTTTTTGCTCTTTGAGATGCTGGGTTAGAAGGTCAAATTTCTATTCATTTGAAAGAAATATCTTGTAATAGGGAAGAGAGTATTTTTAAGTGTAGTCACTAGTGTAGAAGTAGCTTTGTTATCATATCTATCTTTTCCAAAGCACCAGGTTTAATAAAAAGCCTAAGTAGATGGCCTCAGAGTAATCTCCAGTGCTGTGTGTATTCATTCATTCACTCATTTCATCCATAATTTCATTTACTCATCATTTATTAAATCCCTACTATTTCTTGGTCATTTAAAACTGATTTTGCCTTCCTGGAAGGGTATTCTTAGTGGTGACAAGGTCTACAATTATATATACAAGGTTTAAATTACAAAGAATGGTTCACAAGAGGGCCTGCTTCTCATCTCCCTTTTCAATTCCAAAGCTCTTCTCCCTGGTATTGGTACTCCAAATGAAGTTTTGAAAGATACTAAAATAAAAACTTGAATATTAAATTTTTTAAAAATATGGGACATTGTACTTAGAACCCAAATCCTCACAGTCTTATCTAACATGCATACCATTTTTCTGGAGCCATGAAGGTACAGATTTCAGTGCTCATACTGCTTCGGTCTAGTTCAGGCAAATATATTTCTGCAACTACACAGTTGTTGGAGCCAGGCATCATATCCACTTCAACCTTGTCATTGGTGCCTTCATATACCTTTTGCTTTGTCATGAAAGGGGGACAAAGTAGACTGTAATGTGGACTTCACAAAGACATTATTCACTATGGTTCCAATAAAATCAGATCAATTATACATGGAGATTAAAAGGACACATGAAATTCACACTCATACAAGAATTTTTAAAAAAACACAGGAAAGAGGAAATAATTGAATAAAGTTATTGATGGGAGATTGGAAAAATCCTAGGGAAAATGCCTTTCCTTGCCTAACTCTCAATGTTGAGCTATGGAAGTTTTCCAAGGATTTGATGTGTGAATGGCTCTGGGAAAATACCAAAAAAATTCACTCTGAAATCTAGCAGTCTTTGGAATTTGGTTGATTTAGGATAATAGGAGTTAGAACTAGAGGGAATTTAGAAATTATCTGGTTCCAACAAGAACCTACTCTGTCCCCGCATATCATACATACGGAGAACATGAAGAAATTCACAAAGAAGTAGTTATTACTGTGTCATACACTAGATTAGATCTTTTTCTTGGTAATCTTGATGATGTTGAATTGGAGAAAGGAAAGAAAAGGAAGTCATTTGAATGCTTTATGTTTCTTTATCTGAGGGGAAAGGTCAAAACTTACACATACATTCAACTTACCATGTCTAGGGAATTATTAGTTATAAACACTCTGTATACTAGTTCATAATAATTCTGTATTGATATGTTTCCTCCTTTTTTTCTTTTATAGGGTGAATCTGGAGCATGAAGTGTCAACTGTATTGATTTGTTGTTTTGTTTCACACTGATAGATAGAGGTCCTATTTTTGCTAGAGAAAGAAAAGGAAAATTAGGATATTAGAAAAAACAGTATATTCACTAGACCTAATTACTTCACTTGGCCAAATTATAAGCAATGGTCAATTATTATCAAACTCTTGAGAATAGGATTCACAGGTAGCAGACATTAACATCACCAACAGTAATAGGGATGGCTAATGATCCTGCTGGTGAGGAGGCTTTGATTGTTCTTATTTCAAAATTACCCAAAAAACATTTTCTGCTTATCATAGACTTGTTTTTAGAAAATGTGACTTTCAAAACAAAACAAAATAAATCAAACCTCAAAACTTTAAAAGTCAAGATGAGAGAAATCTGGACCAGTTCCAAAAGTTGCAAAATTGCAAAGCAAGCTCCTCCCCTACCTCTCCCCTCCCCTAAAGACTCCTGAGTACCCTTCAAGTTGTCTTTCAAAGGGATAATTCTGTGTTCTTTGTAATACTGTGGGAAGAAAGAGAAAGACCTTTGGCTTCAGCATTTAAAAAAAGTTTCTAAATTAAGTACTGGTTACTATGTGCTGGGCATTGTACTAGCCTCTAGTGATAAAAAGACAATGATGAAAACATTCCCTGCCCTCAAGGAGGCTATAGCCTGTGAAGGAAATGTATATAGATAGATAGATAGATAGATAGATAGATAGATAGATAGATAGATAGATAGATAGATAGATAGATA